CAACATCTGGAACGTCTGGCACGTCTGCCTGTGGAGAGGGCATCGCTTCGGGGTCGCCTCCAAGCCCTCCCCTCTGCGCCGCTTGTCCACCTCTCCAGCTGCCCCGTCCAGCTCCATTTGAAGGCAGTTTTCCCCAAAGATGCGATATTAAATAGAACCAGCTAGCTTTATCCCAAGCAGTTCTCAGTAATTGTACAGATACTTTCTTTTTTCTTTTTTTTTTCTCCTATGATGTATTTTGAAGGGAAGAAGCAATAGTGCAAGTGATTTACAGGATCAAGAATCCTCTGCTGGAAACAGGAGACACACGTGTGGATCATTTCACTGGGGCCATTTACTTCACTATCACTGACAGTTGCCGTCCCCAGAATGACCTTTTCATTCCTCCCTCCCTCCCCCCCCATGCTTTTTTTTTTTTTATATGGGTCAAAAAGGAACAAGGGAATAGAAACATAAGGAATAAATCAGAAAAAAAATATCCTTCCCAGCTTTTCCACTGTGCCTGTGGAGTTAGGTCTGATTTTTTTTTTTTTCCCTTGGAAACAGAACTATTAAATTTGAATAAATATTCTTTTTTTGGGGGGTTGTTGTTCATCTTTCTCAGTAAGGATGGTTTGCACTGCTCTGTTAACACCAACACCCCTCCGCTTCATCCCGGATCGCCCCTTGGGTTGGAAGGTCTGGGTTTTGGTGGCACTTTGACAGCTTCACAAGACAAGCGTCGGAAAGGTCACCGGGGACTGGAACAGTGAGTCAGGCAGGGAGAGGGGGTAGCGAGAGGAGGAGAGGAAGCCAGTGCTTTTCCGATTGAAAACCTGCCACCAATCATGCATGATTCAATGGCAAAATGAATCCCAGGCGCTTCGTGTTGTTGTTGACATTTACTTAGCAAGAAGGGTTGACGGGCAGATTTAATCGGGTTGGGACGGCTCACGTTTAAGTCAAAGTGACCAAAGTGCAATATTAGAAATGATTGAAGTGGGAACCTTTTCAGATTACTCATTGGCTATCACTTCCAGAAGCCATGTGGTAAACCGAAAATATGCGGCATGAATGGCCCAGCTCTTTTAAGGAATGCATCGATTTAGCAGAGACGGGGTATGTTGCTAAATTTAAGCTCCAGTCTTTCTCAGGCTGGGAATAAGCGTTGCTTTGCAAGGCTGCGGGGTGAGCGTGGACGCGTGGGGCTGCCTTGGGTGGCAGCTCATGCAGTTGACACCTTGGCTCCATGCGAGAAGCATGGCCTTTGGTGTTTCCTGCACTTCCAGCGTGCAGCCTCCTCCCGACCTCAACGGGATGTCCCAAAGGCAGAGGGGAGCAAGGCTTTTGTTTCATTGGTACCACCTCATAGCACCAGGCTTCAGACACAGGGGACATGTATCTGTCTTGTGGCTTGGAAACAACCTCACGTTGTTCTTTTGAGAAGGGAGGGATGGAGATGGTGCTGAGGATCTGTCCAGTTAGCCAAGCTCTCCTGTTCCAGCCCTCGGGTGGCTTGGCTTGCACATGCATCTTCACAGAAACACAGAATCATCACAGAAACACAGAATGGTTAAAGTTGGAAGGGACCTCTAGAGATCATCTAGTCCAACCTTCCTGTTTTATGGCAGCAGAGGAAGCAGATTGGAGAGGAGACCAGAGCAGGGGAAGACAAGGAATGAGCATTATCCTTCTTGAAGATGGGAGATGCAGTGGTGCTGGGGCACAGACGGACAACGTTCTACAGCAATTGGACAGTCAAAGCACAGAGCAACGTCTGCATAAGATTCAAAGGACAGACAGATTTGGTTATAGATGTGTAGGCTGACAGACAGGCTTCCAAGGAGGGAAAAAAAAATAAAACTCAAAAAACTGAGTCACAGAAGGAGAGAAAAAGAGCTAGATGGAAAGAGGGATGACTTCCAATGGGACTGAGTGGGGACTCTAGAACTCAGCTGTCCCAAGGCTGGCATCTTGCCCACAGGAACATCTTTCATTCATGCTGATGACTACCTGGCTTTCTCTTAATGCCAGTTTCTTTGCATGCGCACCCTGCTCTCTCAGAGCATCAGTGCATCCTGCATTCCTTCTCCTACTTGGTCAAAGAAAAACAGAAGAACCATGTTAGCTCTGCCTCTCTGAGATTCAGCTTTTCTTTTAAAGCTTTTATTTGTGACACCAGGAACTAATGAAACCAAGGGAAGACGAAGGGTGGTTGCATTTCACAGCAGTCACTGCTCTATCTGTGATCTCTGGTCTGCCCCTGCCTGTGACCCGTTTCTCTAATGGAAATGCCAGGATTTGGAGTGAGCTTGAGTTGCCAGTCATACCTGCTTGCTCCTGACCTTACCTGGTTGACCTTCCATCCTTGTTCTGTGCTTCCAACCCGATGTTGGGCATGACCGATGGTGGCCATGGCCTTCCTGGAGCTCTGTTCCCAGGCCATTTTAATGCTCTTTCCGACAGTGCCGAGCCTTTCGTTGTCCCTCAGGCCACCCAGGGCTCTGCGGGGTGAGCCCTTGCTGGCACACAAGTAGGTATGTCCTGGGCCAAATAAAACAGAGAAGCTTAAAGTGCGATCCGGAAGCCTGGGCTCACAGGAGTGCAGCAGGCTGAAACAGGAAAGAGGTTTAATTTAAGGGACAAAGTAGCTCATTAAGGCTTGAAACCCCTTTTAAAAAGTGAAAGAAATAAAGAAAAAAAGAAAAGTAAAGGAAGGAGAGAGCGACTGCTTTAAGCCAACAAGCTGGGACAACTGGAAGGTGGAAGGTTTAACTTGACCCCGAAGGAAAACTCAAAACAGATGGGTTGCAAAGATGACTGAGATGAAGACAGAGCACCCTTGGCCCTCTCAGTGCACCTAATGTTCCTTTTTCAGGGAAAATGCTTTTCTGGATTTCCACGGCTTCCACTTTGCTGAATTTTTGCTCCTTGTGCTTCAATAGTGTCATTGTCTTACCATGACACCATCCCCAGAAAAGCCAGGCATATCTTCAATGAAAAATCGGGTAGTGGGAGATTAAAATGTCTGAGAAGCTTGGCTTTAAAGGTGAAAAGATTGGGGGAACGTCAACCAGGGAACAGCAATAATAATTAAACCCACATACACAGATATCAGTCTGCCTCTCTGGAAGGCTGATGTTCACTCCAGAGTCAGATGCGTCCAAGAAGCATTACAAAAAGACCAGTTTCTGCACAGGTTCATCACAGCATTAGTCGATTTTTGTACAAGTGCTCGTACGAGATTAGCTAGAAGCAGAGCTAACAGGGTTGTGTTCAACCTACATATCCTATTCCTGCCATAGCAGAGCTCTCTTACAGGAGAAAAGTCCTCCTCTAACCCCTTTTGGTTGCTGCGTGATGAGGTATGTGTGCAGAAAGAGCACAAGTGAGCTTCCACAGTCCACGCTTGGCTTAGTTTCACTGAATTTCACTCAAAACCTCCAAAACTTAGACTCTTAGACTCTTTTCATGTAGAAATTAAGAGGTGAACCAGCAACTTATTTGTCCACAGAAACACGCTGGTCAGAATGAGTTTCCTATTAGAAGGGATGCATTGCAGCGCGATTGACTTGATGGGTTGATCCTCCAGTCCTTACTACTCCTCTGCAGCAATTCACAGCAAGCAACACCTAATGAGCAAAGCAAACTGTGCTGTCTGCTTTTTTTTCATCATTTGAAATTCAGTTGCCTAAGCAAATATCTGGTGCCTTTCCAGAAAAGTTTGCCTTAAGTTCTCTATTGTACTCACCAGCCCTATATGGTGAGCCTAGGGTCAGCCTGGGGTATCCCAGGGTGAGCCTAAGGTCAGCCTGGGCTATCCCAGGACATGTCAAATGACATTGGATGCCTGTGTTTAGCTAACCGAGCCTTGTCCTGGATTTCCTGTGCTTGTGAGCATTGCCAGAGAATCTCGGAGGAAAATTCTGAGGAACCAGCGCTGTAAAGATCAGAGTCTCCGCCTCGGCTCTCCCAGGGCACGTAGCTTATGTTGTGACCTTGATTACCATTTTGTAGTCCTTAAACTAGGTTCTAGTTAATGAAGAAGATCTAAAGAACTTCTAAAGTTCCAAAGAACACCACTGTTGCTTTCTTGCTTTGCCCTTTCATCAGCAAAGGTTATCCTCTGAGATGTCCATGGCCTAGATAAGGCAAATGAGGGAAATATTGACATCCTTCCTTTGAAGATGAGGAACTGAGGTGGAGAAGGATGTGTTGACCGGTACTAGGACACCACAAGCTAAGAGGGTAACATGCACTTACTAAATCCCATGTGAGCATCCTCCAAGCTCGCAGACCCCTGGGTAAGCACAAATGCTAGGCCAGAGTGGGATTTCTTTCAGTTTCCAGATTAGCTGCATTGCCCGCATGGCGAAGAAATTCAGTCATGGCCTCTGGGCCGTATGGAGGTGAGCAATGCTGCATAAACACCAAGAGAAAGGAGTGAATCCGTGCCCGAAACCTGGCAGCTGGGAGGAGGTCATGAACTCAGCTGGCAGCCAGCATCTTTCAGAGCCCCTCCTGTTCATGGGTAGCCCCAAAACAACATGTTTTGATCCCTCTGTTCTTTTCTCATCCCCTCAACTGGTTACTACCTTTTCCTTTGCTTCAAGTTGCAAATGCCTCTCTTTTTCCCTCGTGGTTGGGGCTGCGAGAGGGTAATGGAGGCAGCCGTATTGCCAGGTCCTTTCGTTTGCCTTGGCCCTCTCCTTGGCTTGGCCAGCTCTTCCTTTAACCGCTTGCTTTGGTGTTCTCAGCGTCGAGGTGCCGTTCGCCAGGCGCCTCACACATGCGTTAAGCAAACAGAAGAAGAGGTGTTACAATAATTGGGATGAAATTATAAACCACGCGAGCAAGGAGGTACGGACGGGAGCAAGAGAACGACGGAGGTCTACGGGCTTCAGGGCGAGTCTTGAGCAGGAGGTGAAAAGAACTGAGAGGCATCAAGAAAAGATGACCTGGCAGAAGTGTGTGTGAAACAGAAAAACACCAAGTTGAAGGCTATTAGCAGCGAAGGCATCTGGATAAAATTACAGCCTAAGAGTGCACGAGAGAAAGAGAGAGAGAGAGAGAGAAAAAATCTTTATTAGATCCACCAACAAGCCATGCTCTGTTTTAAGGAAGAAGTACACAAATCAAGGGGTTATTTTTATTCTCAGAATGAGCTCGTTTCCCAAATGAAAGACTTTCTCCACCTCTTTTTTTTTTTTTTTTTTTAATTCCTTCTTTCGTTCTTTCTTCCTACTCAAGCCCTGTGGAAAAATCCCCTGATCCCAATTTTATGAAGACCATAAAAAAAACGCTTGGAAATCTATCCTGGCAGATGCCGGTGGGACTGGTGTTTGAGGCTTACACTTATTGGGTCTGATAGACAGGGGGAAAGAGAGGGGTAGCAAGGCAGTCGGAAAAGTACTCTGCTTTAGAAGTGTTCTCAACGGCCTATTACTTTCTTAAAGGTCAGCTGGGTGGAGTCACAGCGAAGGGAAAAACACAGGGATGGAGAACATTGCGGGCTGGCTGAAGCGAGGAGACTCTTGGTGTCATCTCAGAGCCCTTTTTTCTGGTAGAGCAGAGGGCTTCAGCAAGAAAAAAAATGAAAAAATGAAAAAAGAAAAAAAAACCACACCCAGAAAACAAGGCTTCCCTCATTTATTTTTAAATCAAAAAATGTCTCACTGAGTGAAGTGCATGGATTCAAAAAGAACCTGATGCCAAATTTCCCCTAGCTGCTCTTTAAGCCCAAGTCTAAAATATTAGATCTGGGGAAAGGGCTCATCCTCCCATCCTCCTCCATCACAGCCAATGTCCCTTTGCTCTCACGGATAAAAAGTCTATTTTTTTCCACCTCCCCTTACCTCGTGGCAAAAAAGCATGTGATATCCCAGGCTTGTTTCAGGCTTTGATGCCAACCTGAACCACAGAGAGATGCCCCTTTGATACTGGTCCTCCAGGCTGAGATTTTCCCGCCTGGAATAAAAAGGGGGCAGAGAAGGGAAATGAGTTTTCTAAGGAGGAGTCTGCAACTCGATTAAAAAATAATTTTAAAAAGTATAGTTCACCTGAGTTGATATAAATCTGAATATATCTCAACTTTCCGGCATCCAAGGGCAACACTTATAGGTACCTATGTATCTGCCTTGACAGATTTCTTAGGCCATCACAGTTACTTGGCTCTGTTCACATGGAGTTAGGTAGAAAAGAGGGAGGTTGGGCGAACAGTCTGACAGTTTAACCTAAGCAGGTTGGATGTAGGATGGGAAACATGGGAAGTTCCTTTCCTGCAGTCACTCACCGGATCAGTGGCAGAGACTGAACTAGAGCTGTGCATGGGACTGTGAAGCAATGTCACTGTGAACATGTTCATCCCTGCCATTCTTGAATTTCATTCTGCAGATTTTAATTCATGATTTCATTCTCTTTCACAGATGAAGGTAGAACCTTGCTCTCTTCATGCTAAGTCTGTAGAGGTGCATGTATGCACCTGTATCTATATGTATTGCATGTGTATGTGCATGCACTTGTGCATGGCTGTGTAGGAGCTAAATAATTTCTTGGGAAAAATTTCCAAGAAATGGGTGAGCTTACATTTTCCTCGGTGACCAGTTCTGTCTTGAAACTTCATGTCATTCTGGCATTCTTAATGAGGAATGTGATAGACCATATATTCCTAGATCTTCTTCACATCCTAGTTATGAAAATAAATGAATGAAATAATCATTTTCTGCCTCTTCTTATCAATAGCAAACCAATTTGGACAAAAAGACTTCTTTGCTATCTTCATACCTCACTCTGTATCTTCCATTTCAAAAGATTTCCGAATGATGCATTTGGAGAAATTTTGTACTCAAGGAAAAAATTCTGTTACTTAGGGCAGACTTGTGCATGCCTTCATCACTATGCTGAGTATCAGGAAATATAGCCCAGTCGTGTTATCAAAGATATTCAAGTGCCTCTTTGCAGCTCTTATCTACTGTTCATTCCTCCTTAAGATCTGGTACATTGTTGAACTCTGTGCTGCGAAAATGCACCGGAAAGGACCTTCTTTTCATATTGATCCTCGTGAATGACAGTGTATAGCCTTGGCCTTGTGCCTCCCTGGCAACATTTACCACCACGAGATCACAGCACCTTGCTGTGTCCTCTGCTCCCCTTCCCACCTGCTCAGAGAATAGCAGAGGAATTTAGGAGTTTCAGCCTTTATCCACAAAATGGTCCAGAAGCTGAGCCATAGACTGACCAAGTCTTTAGACAAAAGCTGGAGCTGTCTCGGAGACAATTCTCTGCCATCAAAATAAAGCAAATCAATACAAGGCTTCCAAAAACCAAGGACTGTCTCAAACCTCTCCAGCCTCTGCTTTGTTCACTAATTTGAGCAATGGCTGAGAGAGACATAAAGCAACTAAAAATACCACCTCCCTCGACTGCAAGGAACTTCAGAAGAGGGAATAATATACAGGATAAAGCATCCTACATCAGACTATCACGGCTCTGCCTACTATAGACAGTCATCTCAACAGTGCAGCTAAAGGTGAGGAAATGATCTCCGCTCTTTGCCTTGGGGAAAGAAGCCATAGAAAAATTCCTACCAAAGGTTGTACCAAGAAAGAGCAGAAGTAGCTGCAGAGCAACAGGCAAGGGTTGCACTGGACAAAGCCAAAGGAGACATTAGACACGTCTGAACTAGGACTGCAGCAGCTGCAGGAGCAGGCTTAGCTCTGCTCAGCTATCCTAGATCCTAAGCTAGAGCTGGGTTTACACAGGGAGAGCTTGAGCGGGGGAGAGAATTTAACTGCAAATCCATTACAAGCCTTTGTTGAGTGCAGACACACTCTGCAATTTTAATTCAACCAAATCTGGTAAAAATCTTCGGTCAGTGCCAAAAGACACATCTGCCACGGGGAGGTTTAGCAGGGTGCTCTCTGCTGAATTTTGAGGGCCTGCTCTAAGTCAAAGGCACACCAGAGCTCTCCGAAGGGAGGAGGTTCCCGGAACCTTTTAACGTGGGTAAAACAATTTATTTCCCTCCCCAGTCTTGTTCTCAGAAGCTGTTTTGGCTGAACTACTTTGGCTGAAGCATCCAGGAAAATTCAGCCTATGGCATGCGCCCCACGTCTCGGTTCTCTGCTTAACTTTTGACGTTGCTGTAAGGAGCTCTGTTCAAGGCTCTGCACTTTGAATGGAGGAGTTTCAGGCAACCATATGCGTAGGCATTCCTACCTGTTCTGCCTCTAATGGCAGAACCGTAGTAAAACTTGGAAGCAGATCTGCACTTTGTGGCTTGGGCTCTTTTCCAGCACCTATCAGAGGAAGAATGGGAAATGGCAGCTTGCTTTTGCTAAGCCCAGCCAGAGCTTTTCCCCATTTGGGGAATTTTTGTACTTCCCCAGATGGTGGCATCAGCTACTTGATGACCGAGTGATCATGTTCCATTGCACTATCATTTTTGGTTGAAAACAATTTGCAGGAATTGCCATCAGGAGGATGGATTTCAGGGGTAAGAAGAAGGGCTTGAGAGAACAGATGCTCCATTCAGACCAGGTTTCCTAGGTCCAAATGCTGCTACCTCTGCCTCTAGCACAGAATGGCTTAGTTGGGAGACATGTCCAGAACTCATCTATTAGATGATATATTAGATTATATCATCTATCATTAGAGCAGGTTCTTTGGGGCCTTGCCCCTAGGTTTGAAAGGTGTGAAACACTTCTGGTAAAATCCCTGTATAAAAAAGGCAAAATCTGGACGTTGTTTCCCATCTTTCCCAAGCCTGATGGGCATAAAAGCCCTTGGTCTGAATTGCTGTAGATTGAGAATTGAGAATTGCTGTAGAATTGAGCGTAGATACCAGCGTAGCTAAAATAACTTTTAAAACATTTAGACTCAATGGACTAACCCCCATCGTAGCTCCTCAAAATTTTAAGGCAGTAGAGCCAATCCAGCCCATATATATGGTACTCTATGTTTGAGGGCTTATGTGTAAATTGCTTACCTTCTGGTTTGGCTCTGAGATTGAACAGCTCGGACAAGAAAGCCAGTAGCCATGAAACAACACTCCAGCAGAAATCTTCAGTCGATAGGAAACTGCAGGCTGTAAAGCAAAGCAGATTCTTGGTGGCAAAAGCAGCAGAACAGAAAATAGTAGGGAAAGTGTTGCATCCCCACGTGAATCTGGAGGAAGGCAGACCCCAGCTGGCAGGAGGAGGAAGTAGCACGCACATAACCCCAGGCCTTTAAATCATCCCAAACGTGATGATCCAGAGGGGAACGCAGCAAGGAAAACCCTGGTGTGAACTACTGCTTCCCAGGATGTCGCCTGGAGTGGCAGGAATGGTGAATACAGAGGGAAAGAGCACCGGGATGGAGTCACAGCTTCCAACAACTCTGCCCGCTGCATTAATTACAGCTATTACAGCTGGAGCCACTAAAGAAAGTTACTGATTTTCAACAGCTTCTATGGGAGCAAATACAAAACTTAAGGGTTTTTGTTTGTTTATCTCTCTCTCTTTTTTTTTTTTTTTCTTTTTTAATTAAAGTTAGGCTGGGAATAAGTCTGGCTTTACCAAGCTGCAGCTCCCAGACAGCTCTTTCAGTTAGCCTCATATAGCCCATCAGGCAAGTTTAGTGGCTATCAATAAGCAAATCAGATTCACATCACCTGGGACTTCACACATTTCTGTAGGAAAAGCCTGATTTAGTTTATCTGAGAAGCTGAGCTGCATTTGTTCCTGTAGTCCATTTGTTTTTGGGAAGGCTGATTTTTCCTGCACTTGTTTTCTTTGCAGATATGTTGTAGGCAGGCTTACTTATGTTAGGTATTATTTGGGTTTTTCAGTATTTTATGAAATAAATTTCAGCAGACTTTTAACTGGCATAGATAAAAATCTCAACATGCTCTAGTTGGGGTATTTTTGTGGTTTTTTTTTTCCTTCTTCCTTCTTGTTCCCTTATTTTTCTTCTTCTGGGAGAGGATATGAGAATGGCCTTTTTTTCCTTTAGTTTTTTAGTTTACATTTTTCAAATATAACTCTTTCCTCTCTTGTGAAGAAGGAGGGAAATAATTGCTTTGGATTCTGAAGTGATGGATTTCTTTTTTTTTTCCCTCCCTACAAAAATCTGAATGTTCCTTCAATGATGTTGCTAATTAAGATGCCTTTTGAAGATAGATCTAGGTGCTCTGAACAAAATTGTTATGATCTTGTGGTGAAACATTCACATTTAGAGAATTTTTTTAGCTTGAAACAGCTTTTCTTCTCTGAAGCCACAGAAGTCACCATTCTGTGACTGTCATTGTGGATGCTCACAAATTAATATCTATTGTACTTAAGTTGCTCCTCAGAAAAGCTGATATCCACTAGTGCCTGTGGCGTTGTCAGCTCAAATAAAAAACAAATGTATAATAATGAAATTATTGGTTATTTGCTGCCAAAGTGGAAGTCTCTACAGAGAAGGATCCCTCAGGGGTCTGGAATTTGACATCTCGCTTGCTGACTGGCACAGGGTAATAGGGACTTATCAAATCTGCAGTTGGTGCTGGCTGAGAATGGGGAAGAAGTGCTGGCCAACATACTGGAAGTGAAGTGAATCTAAGCTAAACTGGAGGGAAGTGGAGAAGCAGTCTGGGACAGTAGGGTGTTTTCCATGGCCATGAACAAGGTCTACACTTAGTTGAGGTTGACTGGCGTCAAGTGAGGGTGGAAGACAGCTGGTGAGGGACATTGCTGAGGGGAAAGCTCTGGGCTTTGCAGTGCGTCACGTAGTCGGTGTGAGTCAGCACCGTGCTGCTCCTGTGCTGCCCTGCGATGTATAAACAGACTCATGCTCTACACAACACATAGGCAGCGTCTCCGCTTCAGTGTTAGGACGTGTAGAGCTGAGCTATTGTGTCCTGAGCAGACCTCTGTCCTTCCAGAAGGAGAGGGAAAGAGGACAGACTAGGAGGAAATGCAATAAAACAGGGCCCATGATGACCGGGAGGAGAAAAAGGTAGTTTAATCCAGGGAAGGGTAAAACGGTCTGAATTTCAGTGTTTCTTATTGGCTTTGCAGTTTTGGCAATCTCCTTCTAGTGTAACTTTTGCTTCATTCTTTATGTTGGTATTTGTCCACTTTGAAAAATGAAACAACAGGAAATCCATCCTGTGACATTACATTGGCCTTCCTGCACCACACCAGGAGATTTGCTACTGGGACTACAAAAAATATGCATGTAAGCCTCTGAGAGGTCACTTGGCATAATCTCTCTCCTGGAAATAGGATCATCTGTCCCTAAAAGACCTCATGTTTCTGTAGAATCAGTGAAATAATGCATTACTATGGATGAAAAAAAAAAAAAAACTTAACTATTTTGCTAGTAGCATCATAACTATCTATGTCTAGTAGCCCATAACTATCTATGGGCCTCCTATGGGATATTGACACCACAGGGAATTCCCAGACGCTGCCCCAGCTTGCACAAGTATGACTTTGCAAAGAACATTTTTTGCATCTGATGAAGCCAGGATGTTTCCTTTTTGGGGTCATAAATCTCCCAAATGCATTAAACCTTTATAAGTTGTCATGTATATAGAAAGTATTCAAATTCTTTCCCCGCTGTTCTAATTTTGGATTGACTCATCTGACACAAGGCAGATGGTGTTTGTCCTTCCAAAGTGCGTTAGATGGAGAGGTTTGTTTTTCCCAGGTACAAATGGACAGAAAATGCTTTTTTTTTTTTTCTTTTTTTTCCCCATAAGAAAAAATAGCCTACAACTACTTCTCATCAATGCCTTATATTTTCATGAAAAGGCCAAAAGGAGAAAAAAAAAGGCATATAATCATTTTTGTTATTATAAAGTGATCTTTGACCGTTCCTATTTTCTGTTTATTTTTCCAGATCAGCTGAAATGTGTTCTAATGAGTTTACTCCTCCCTGGTGCTGGCCTGGCCTCAGGGAGCATTAAATGAATTGCAAGGTAGTTAGATGAGAAAGAGGACAGCAACCAAGTGCTGGTGGAATTACTGGGATTTGCAGGAAAACTTCAGTCTATGATTTTTTTTCTTTTTTTTTTTTTTAAAAAAAAGGGAAGAAAAAAAGTAAAGAAAAAAAAAGGCAGGTGTGTTCTATCAAAATTCAATATCAAACCCATTGCATAAGACTGTTATTATCACAGTAATATGTGCTACATGTGCATTGAACGTCGGGCAGTTTTAATGATAACATTTACATTTGAGTGATTTATCTAAAATACCACTAATGCAGCAATAATTCTTTTGAAGCTGTGATTCACACTACCTGTTTGCATGACTATTTGGGATGAGCTGGCTCGCCCAATGATGAATTTCCCTCTCTTGGTTTGGGAAGGAGAGTAAAGTGATTTATTTAGTGATGGACACCTACAACACGATGCCTAGTTTAAGACTAGTGAGATTAATCCCATACTTCTTATTTAAAAATGGGTTGGAGACTCCATTAGATGGTGGGAGTATCTCTACTAATGGTGACATACCCCTTGTTAAAATATATTCCATTTATTTTCCGTTTACGATACTCTATTTGACTTTCAAATATTTCTTCCTTGGCTTTTCTGGGGAGGGGAGAACGGATAAAACATCGAACTCTATGTTTCTGGCAGACTGAAAGCCATGAAAAAGGAAGACAGGATATGGCAGCATGGAGAAGTTTAATTTTGCTGTCAATCTCTGACTTTATTAGAACATTTGCTGGGTAGTAAAATAAGTTATTTCCTTAAGAGTAGTGTTATCTGTTTTTCCCTCTTTTCATTAGGCATGGGAGCAGGACTTTGCTTTTTTCTTTTTCCTCTCTCTCTTTTTAGTGATTTTTCTCCAAGTATTGGGAAAGCAGAGAGAAGAGAATTGGTTGGGAGAATAGAAAGACAAGGGAAGGAAGAATTGTGCTGCTTGTGCAGATAGTCTGTGCCTTGCTCTAGGTGCGACTTCGTGCCAATGTAATCATTTCAGTCTGGGATGTGACTTCTCTCCTGTCGGATCCAACCTGTCTCATAACAAGTGTTGCTGAGATACCGTTGTGCTGGTTTTGCCAGGTTTACTGGTGACGTGCCCATGAGAGCACATCCCCAACCGAAACAGGAGCATGGGGCAAAGCGTGCTGCTCTTGTCTGCTCGCAGCTCTCTCCTCCTGTCCTGTCTCCAGTGTCTCATTGCTGGACACTGACTGTGCACCCCAGGTGCTGGTCATACTACGTAGCACCATCTAGTGTAAAATTATACTATAAAATGACCTAGTTATTATTTTCCATGCAGGACAATAAAACGCATAGCAAATTGGCAGGGATTCCCCCCCACAAAATGCACTTTCAGGAGCTGCTCAGACCCTTGGGTGAATTTTAATGCAATTTTAGAAGGCTGAGGAGGAAGTTTACCTCTCTTGTGAGAGTCCTCAGCAAAACACCTTATGGAAATGTCCCTTTTCCTTTTCCTCTTTCCGCTAGGTATTGATGCTTGTCTAGAAGGAGAGCTTAGAGTAGACAGCAGATGTGATGGTCATGGTCTGACCTCTTTCAGTCAGCATGAGATCTCTGATGCTGGGGTGGTGTCCTTCCATCAGCAGTACCAATGGTACATCCCAAATCATCTTCTGTGACCCGTGTTATGTCCTCATCTCTGTGCTGCTCTAGATTGTGGTCAATCTAGGTCCTCCATGGGTCAACCAAGATGGGAGCAGCCCTTGTAGCACATCTACCATGTCTTTCCTCCTAACTGTCTCTGCAGCTTCCTCACAGTCTGCCTTTGCAAAGAGGGAGCTGAAGGGGAAAAACAACTGATATTTCATAAGAAAAACCCACAGAAGATCTTGGGGAAATTGCACAGCCTTTTCCCCTCCACCTGTTGAAAGCCCTTGGGAAAGGTCTTGCGGAAGAGGAGCATCCTGATAAGAGGGTGACCCGAGCACAAGCGGAACACAGATCAGGAGCATTTCATGCTGTCCTGCCCGTCCGGTTCAAGGCGACATGGGGTTTCATCCGAAGGGAGAGCGCGGCCCCCCTTTTCTCTTAGTGGGTGGTTGCATTTTTCAGGATCACCGATGATTATTCTATTTATTTTGCCCCTGTCAAAAGAGGAAACGGGTTGGCTTCTGCCAAGTAATTTTACACCTAAGTATTTCCTTCTGTTTGTCTTAAAAACAGCTTAGTATGGATGTTACCTCCAGGTCGCGGGGTGGCTGGGGGATTGGCGGAGGCTTTGCAGGGTTGCTCGGAGCACAGCTCGCTCCTGGAGGCCTGTTCCTAATTGTCTGCTGGAGGCGAGGGAATATAGAGCCCGTCCAAAATACGCCGCCTTGCAAGGACGGGGTTGGTGCCCCGGACAGGGGAGGTAACGAAGCAAACGTGCTCGGGTGCCTCGCTGCAGAGAAGCCACGGATGTGTGTGTGCGCACACGTAACAGGTCATTTTTCACTTTGCAGACTGCAAGCGCTGGTGTGGGGAGTCGCA